CCCTGCCCCAGCCTCAGCCCCTGCCCCAGCCCAGCCCTATCCCCAGCCCCTGCCCCAACCCCAACCCAGCCACACCGCAGCACCACCCCGGTGCGGGGACGTCCCGGTCCACCCCTCCTGGGCTCCGCTTCTTCCTCCTCTCTGACGGTAGGCTGGAATCCCTTCCCCCAGAGTACTGGCGGATTCAAGTCCTCCACGGTTCAGACAGCTGCACCTCTAACCAGGAGGGCTCCCGTCCGCACTCACTTCCTGAAGCCAGCAGCGCTGTCAGGATCGAACCGGAGACCCTCAACTAGCAGCCTCCTCACCACGTTCCAGACTTCCTCCACGTCCATCTTCAGAGACTCCAGATCACCGTGTACTAGCTGCCAATAGCCCAGGGGGGTGGGAGGAAAAGAGCTCTAGTCAATTAATCCGCACCCCGCCTCCTTCCAGAAAAGGATTTGCAGCCACCTGCAAAGTTCATAGAGTAGGTAAAAAAAGGAAGCATAAATTGTGAGGTGGAAAAGGAAAACAGTACGGCCTGTGTTAAGGTTCATATCCCCAAGAGATGCTGTTGGTAGAGGGGGGCACTGCAAAGTGAGCTTCCCAGCAGCAAAGGCAAAAAGCACCACCAGTTACTGCCTCCAGAAGACCACGCCAAACCCCTGCTGTGCTGCAGGCCCAGGTAGTCCCCAGAACATTTCTCCGGGGGCTCCTGTTCAACACGTCTTTGTGGGGGGAGGGCCTGTCTGTGAAATGGACTCTCCTGCAGCTCCCACGGTATGCACGGAGTTGTGCAACCACCACAAATAATTGTGGAATGTTTGCATCATAAAGCCCACCTGCCATTCCTCCCTAACCCCTGCCTGGCAACTACAAACCCAATCCTGCCTCTACCCACTTGCCTGTCCTGGATAATCAACGCAAATGGAGTCACGTGACTGTTCTTGGTGACTGGCCCGTGCAGTGTAACACTTCAAAGGCTCATCCATGTGGTAGTGGGTACCCGTGTTTCATTCACACAGCACAGAAAACTATGACTGAATAATCAGCTGTCCTAGGGGCACACCACATCTACCAAAATCACGTATTGTTAATATTATCAGTAATTCATCTGCTGACGGGCGCTCGGCCGGTCCTCCCCTTCCGACCACTGTCAACAGCCGCTATGAGCCTTTGCGTACAGGCTTCCGTGTGCCCTTGCGCCAGCTCCAGCCCGTTCGCGGGTATGAGGAATGAGATTCTGATACGCTACAGTGTGGACGAGCTTCAAAAATGTGATGCTGAGAGAAGGAAGCCAGGGCCCGGAAGCTCACATGTGGGGTGATTCTATTTATGTGAAACATCCAGAATAAGCAAATCTACAGAGACAGACAGTAGGTTAGCAGGGCCAGCCCATGGCATGGTGGTTAAGGGGGCTGGACCGCACACGGCCAACCGCAGTTCAAATCTCAGACCCGGTGGTTTGAGAAATATGCTGGGCATGTGTGTGTATGTGCCCAAAACCCCAGAAAGAGAAATGGAGAAGGGACTGCAGTATGACCATTCCTTACAGGGGGCAGTTTCTTGCTTGCTCGATCGCTCACTCTCTCTCTGTTGAGTGCACATACTCTCTGACAAAAATACTTCTAAAGCAGAAAGTAGAGGGGCCGGCAGGTGGCATGGTGGGTAAGAATGCTGGACTCCCACATGGCTGACCACAGTTCGAGTCCCGGACCTTGCGGCTTGCTTCCTCTCTCTCTCTCTGTTCTTCTCTGGTCAAATTAAAATAAATAAATAAATAAATAGATAAATAAATAAAAGTTAAATAAAATAATTCTTTTTTTTTTTGAGAGGTTTTCGCTATAGGGCACGTGCGCTCGCCAGACAGAGAGAGACATAGAGACAAAAAGCGAGAAATCACCCCCCAGGGGGGATGGTCACGCCGCAATCCCTTCTCCTCCATTCTCCTCTCGGGATCTTGGGCACGCACGCACATGCGCCCAGGGTGAGTTTTAAGCCACCAGGTCCGGGATGCGAACTGCGGTCACTACGTGGAAATCCAGCGACAGAGCCATTACGCTAACTGCTGGTTCCCAAATAAAATAATTCTTAGAAAAGAAAGAAAGAAAGAAAAGAAAGTGGATGAGTGGCTGCCAGAGGCTGGGAACCAGGAGTGGGGGCGACAGGACGGTGGTACCCGGTGTCGGCTGGGGCGATGGAAGTACCTCGGGACTAGCAGGCGTGGGCTTGCACGCTGCAGATGTGCTGCTGACTCATGCACTTTGAAATGGCTAGGGTGGCTTGGGCTGCTGACTTTCGGCTGGGATTTGAATATGCTTTTAAAAATTCTGTACTTGGACCAGCAGGTGGCGTGGTGGTTAAGGTGCTGGACTCCCACATGGCTGACCACGGTTTGAGTCCCAGACCTGGCAGCTTGCTTGCTTCCTTTCTCTCTCTCGCTCTCTCTGTGTCTCTCTCTGGTCAAATTAAAATGAATGAATGAATAAAAGTAAATAAATAATTTATAAAAAGAAAAAAAAAAGCTGTACTTAACTCATTATTCATCTGGGGTTTTATTGTTTGTTTGTAACCCTAACCCTATAACAATAGGCCTGTGTGCTCACCAGAGCAAGCCGGGGGAAGCAGGGGGCAGAAGGGAGAAATCAGCCCCCAACGGAAGACAGCCATGCCGCCATCCCGTGTCCTCCACTCTCCTCTCAGAACTTTGGGCCCGCAGATGCACATGCGCATGGTGTGATTTTCAAACCACCAGGTCTGGGACTCACACTTCAGAGTTGGTTATGGGGATCTGGCTGCCGTAGTCTCCATGACACCTAATCTTTACTAATCGTGTGGGTGTCACTGCATAGAGAGATGAAGTCAAGCCAGAAGAAAACCCAAGGAACATGAAAAAATGCCACAAAAGACGCTTGTAGCCGGCAGACAGCCGCCTAGCCATGTCAGGTCTAGGGTGTCAGGACCCGAGGGTGAGCCCCAACGCACGCTGCAGGACATTGTCTCTTCCAAGTGCCCTCCCCCACCCTCTGTCCCCGCCAGGGCCACCTCAGCTTCCTTCCTTCTCTCATCCCAGCCTGTAATGAGACACGCTGGGACGGAGAGAGCACCAACCCAGTCCCTGGGCTCCAGGGACCACAGAAGGTAGAACCTATGGGAGAGGAAGCGAGGGCGCAATGCTCACACGCCAAAGACTGCAGGGCCGGGGCCACACGGACACAGGTGGGGCAACTGCACCCACGTGGAAGGGCCCTGGGTGGGCATCCTGGGGCCTCCCGGGGCAGTGTGTGGCTGTGACTGGGTGGGTCAGGGCATGAGGACCCTGTTGGGAATGCCTGCCTCTCTCTCTAGTGGAGGATATAAATAAATAAACTTTAAGAAAAAATTATTTAATAGCTAATTTTATGTTGTATGAATTTTATCACAATTAAAAATATAGAAAGAAATTAGTATAGAATCATTTAAAATACTGTGAGCAATAAAAAGACATTTTATTAGGAAACAGTTCAAACACATAGAGTAAAAAGATTATACTAGTTAAGCCCCATGTATCCAATACCAAGATTTTATAAATATGAAATGTTCTATTTCCCTTTTTAAAAAAAATTCATTTCTTTTAATACAGAGAGACAGAGACAGGGTCCTCATGCCACAATCCACCCCCAGTTTCAGCCACTGTGGATCATGGGGCTGTGTGGCATGCTCAAGGAGGCCCGGGGATGTGAACCCAGGACCTTCTTCACGTGGGTCCGACTCCATAGCTGCTGTACTACCACCTGGCCTGCCTTGTTTCTTTGCCGGAGTTTAGTTTTTCTTTCTATGTTACAGAAATCCTGCCATTTCACTCATAGATGTGGGACAGCTGTCTCTCAGAGCCGAGCACACTCCCTCACATGACCGCAGCCCCACCACGGCACAGCCACAGAGAGCGCTCAGTCCTGCCTGGCTTCACCCCAGCCCACTTTCAGAGCCGGTGCAACAGAGCCAGGAAGCAGGAGAGTTTCCTGTGCTGTGTTTGTTTGCTTTGCCTCTGGAGACTTTCCATCTGGAGCAATCTCTGCTCGGTTCCCCGGCCAGATGTTCTGCAGACTGCTAACGCAGCTGCAAGCTGGTAGTGGCCAATGCCACCTCTGTCACAGCGTGCCTCCATGAAGACAGAGGCCCGTTCTGTTCCCTCGTTGCTGGCCCTCGGTGACTGGCCATCCTAGCCCGCTACTGCCCTGCTAACAGAAACCCCTGAGCCTGGCTGGCTCATGCAGAGACAGAAGGGTACTCGGCTCCCTGGCGGTGGACAGGTCAGCTTGCAGCACCACCTGCCGGCAGGAGCCAAAAGGACAAGCAAGCGGGGGCCGCCATCTTCCCTTCACGACAGCCCACTCCGGGCCTGGGCACGGATGGACCCCTTCTGAGAGACTGGGACTCAGGCACTCACAGACAGCACTGGCCCGTTCATGAGCTGATGCTTCCAGGCTCCAGTCACTGTGACCCAGTCCCCGCCCACCAGGCCTCTGCACCTCCCAACACCATACACTGGGACCACATTCTAAAACGTGAACTTCGGGGGACAGACTACCCCCCAAGTCCTGATGCTAGTGCCAGTGTTACCCTGCACATAGTTAAGAAATGGGGGAACCAGCATAATGGCTATGTCGCTGGACTCCCATGTAGTCAACCACAGTTTGAGTCTTGGACCCAGTGGCTTAAACTCACGCCAGGCACATGCGTGTGTGCGTTCCCAAGATCCCGAGAGGAGGATGGAGGAGAAGGGATTGCAGTGTGGCCATCCCCCCTGGGGGGTGATTTCTCACTTTCTATCTCTGTCTGTCTCTGTCTTTCTAGTGAGCGGGCGCACCCTATAGCAAAAACCTCTCCAAAAAAAGAAAAAACGAAATGGGAAAATCCCCATTTTACAGATGAGAAAGCTGAGCTTCAGGAAGGTGATGCCTCTTCTCAGGGCATGCTCCTAGTGGAGCTGCACTAAACCCAGAGCTGCCCGATGCTAGCCCACGCGCTCCTGGCCGTCACGGCCACCCTGCCTGCCTGGGCCACTATGGGTCTGACCATTCCTGTCTCCCTGCTGGACTGTACACATTGAGTGACTGCTTGACATCCTCGTGGGGCCTGCACGTCGCGGGCTATCAGGAAATGGTGTGGCGGGCTCATGCAGACACAGAAGGGTACCCGGCTCCCTGCCGGTGGACAGGTCAGCTTGCAGCACCACCTGCCGGCAGGAGCCAAAAGGACAAGCAAGCGGGGGCCGCCATCTTCCCTTCACGACAGCCCACTCCGGGCCTGGGCACGGATGGACCCCTTCTGAGAGACTGGGACTCAGGCACTCACAGACAGCACTGGCCCGTTCATGAGCTGATGCTTCCAGGCTCCAGTCACTGTGACCCAGTCCCCGCCCACCAGGCCTCTGCACCTCCCAACACCATACACTGGGACCACATTCTAAAACGTGAACTTCGGGGGACAGACTACCCCCCAAGTCCTGATGCTAGTGCCAGTGTTACCCTGCACATAGTTAAGAAATGGGGGAACCAGCATAATGGCTATGTCGCTGGACTCCCATGTAGTCAACCACAGTTTGAGTCTTGGACCCAGTGGCTTAAACTCACGCCAGGCACATGCGTGTGTGCGTTCCCAAGATCCCGAGAGGAGGATGGAGGAGAAGGGATTGCAGTGTGGCCATCCCCCCTGGGGGGTGATTTCTCACTTTCTATCTCTGTCTGTCTCTGTCTTTCTAGTGAGCGGGCGCACCCTATAGCAAAAACCTCTCCAAAAAAAGAAAAAACGAAATGGGAAAATCCCCATTTTACAGATGAGAAAGCTGAGCTTCAGGAAGGTGATGCCTCTTCTCAGGGCATGCTCCTAGTGGAGCTGCACTAAACCCAGAGCTGCCCGATGCTAGCCCACGCGCTCCTGGCCGTCACGGCCACCCTGCCTGCCTGGGCCACTATGGGTCTGACCATTCCTGTCTCCCTGCTGGACTGTACACATTGAGTGACTGCTTGACATCCTCGTGGGGCCTGCACGTCGCGGGCTATCAGGAAATGGTGAAGGAACAAATGAATGGCAGCATGCTCCCTCAGCAGACCCCCACCCCAAGCCCATAGGGTCCCTCTGCCTGCCCAGCCAGGACAGCTGTGGGAGTCAGGCCCCCGCTAGTCCTGTGTTCACACCACGGAGCGGTCCTCTCCACGCTGATCAGAGAGCCTTGCATAACCAACAGGAAGTGACCGAGTGGTGGGGGTAACTCTCGTGGCTCTTCCATAACAGACATCCCCACTTCCTTCTTGGCCCTCGAGGATCACTCGTTTTGGGCCCCACACAGGAATTAGACCCAGGGAAGGGAAGCACCACCCGTCACTCACGCTCGGTGTCCCCACATATCTAAGGCAAGTCCACCTCTTCTGAACGTAACGGACCTCAGAGGTCCATGTGATGAGAAACGTGGCATCTCACCAAGCGCCACGGGACGGCGCCAGCTCTGACGTGGCTCCTCCAGCCCCAGTCAAGCCTTCAGATGATTTAGCCCACACCCCACCTTGACTGCGATCTCATGGGAGACCCTGAGCCACGTGGTCAAGCTGCTCTCAAATTACTGCTCTTCAGAAATGGTGAGCATTTGTTGCAAGAAGCTGCTGAGTTCTGGGGTCGTTTGTTACGCAGCGAGTAGTAACTAACCCAGGGGCACTCACCCTGGTCTTCAGGTCCTTGCTGAGCTGCTCCACAGCCTTCTTCCAGTCATCCTCATGGGCCATGACCCTGACGAGCATGCTCCGAATCATCTCATTCAGCTCTGTCGCCACCGTCTCCAAGTCAGCCCGGCTGGCCTTGCCTGCCAGGGTGCTCCTGTCAGCTTTCTAGAAAGAGAGGGAGCAAGGGAGTTCAAGGGGCAGGGCTGCTGCCATGGGGCAGGGGGAGCTGGGGGGACTCAGGCCCCTTTGGCCAATTCTTTTGCCTTTTTGTCTTGGCTTGAATTCAACCTTGGGCCTACATTGGCTCACACACAGCCTGGAGATCTACGGCAAGGTTCCTCTCTAATGGGGAAGTCGACACATGAGTTTTTGTGTCTGTTTTTAAGTTTTTTGCCATTGTGTGTGTGTGTGCTCGCCAGAGAGAAACAGATAGTGAGAGGAAAGTGAGAAATCAGCCCCCAGGGGGCATGGCTGTGCCATGATCCCTTCTCCATTCACACACTGGGCATGAGTTTCAAGCTGCCAGGGCTGGGACTCAAACAACAGAGTCAGCCATGTAGGAGTCCAGCGCCTTAAATACCATACTACCTGCTGGCCCCAACACAAGTGTTAAAGCTCACATGGCAATGTCACGGATCCTGAGTCACCGAAAATAGGAGCTGATGGGATTACTTCTGAGGAATGTCCCTGACCTCCACGAAGAAAGGCAGGAGGAGATTCTGGCAGGCTCTGCCTGACTCTGCCTGGCTGGGAGAGCCGGGGCTCGGGATGGGCAGCGAAGAAGACGGGGACTCGGCTCACTCACCTCCCTCAGCTCCTGCTCCAGTGTGCTTCTATTCACCTTGTTCATCTCCAGCCTGTGGATTTGAGCCTGGAGAGTCTGAGGACAGAGCAAGACCTGTCAGCCATCCTCAGAACCCCGAGGACTA